CCCTTTCACCTTCAGCAACAGCGATAGATCAGCTCAGACATCTCACATCAAGGCATCTGTACTATAACAAGTGTGGCCTCAATGCCGAAATAGACAATCCCCCCTTCTGCGTCTCTGGTTATTTTTAGCCATTCCCTTGCATTTGTCTCCTGCTGGCACATGGACAGCACAGAGGCAGGGACGAATGGGCCAAGGGCAGTGTGATTCTTCCAGCAGAAGCACGTTTAGGCCAGCTTCAAAGAATCATCATGAGATGAAGAATGAGGAGGTGAGTGTGTCCTGTGGGTTGGACAGTGACAAGCCAAAGAAGGAAAGGTAAAGAATTTACCAGGGATGAGCTTTTGAGTCTGCCCAACTACCATTTGCTCCCATCCTGGTCCTGATTAAGGGACACAGGGTTTGAGTAGCATCAGTTCTCTGACACCAACAGTCATTGGTATCTCCTGGCAAAGACTATTCTGGATCCTGCTAACCTACAGGCAGAGCAGCGACTGGCACTTTACCTTAGTTACTCCCTTAGGGCTGTACACGGAAACAAGCAACCGAGCTTTCAATTCTGCTCGTGTTTCACAATGCAAAACACCACACATTAACATCAGTGTGATTACACAAGCTACAATTACTACATCTTCAGTTTTAATTCATTTAAAAAAAAAGGGGGGGGGACGACAAGAATTTGCATGCTGAAAGTTACAACCATTAACAGAACTGTTATGTCAGTTGTTGGAACTAGAGGATCTTTACAGGTCCCTTCCAACCCAAACCATTCTGTGATTCTATGTTATCCATATAAAGATGAAAGAAATGCAAATTTAAGGTTGGATCAACAGACATTTATTTTGTTTACTACATCTAGCACAGCAATGTCATATCGCAGACAGAAGACAAATGCTTATCTGCCAGCCAAGAGGGCAAACCACACCCTGGGGTGCATCAGATGCAGTATAACCACAGGTCAACAGAGGCGGTTATCCCGCTGGGTATAGCGTTGCTGCTGCCTCAGCTGGAGTGCTGTCTGCAGTTCTGGGCCCCACCATTTGAGAAGGATGCAAAGGTCCTTGAACACGTCCAGAGGAGTGAAACAAAGCTGGTAAAAGGGCTGGAAAGCCTGTCCTGTGAGGAGCGGCTCAGGACGTTTGGTTTGGAGAGAAGGAGACTGACGGGTGACCTCATTGCCCTCCACAGCTTCCCAAGGAGGGGACATGGAGAGGAAGGTGCTGGTCTCTTCTCCCCGATCTCCAGTGATAGGACGTGTGGGAATGGCTCAAAGCTGCACCAGGGGAGGTTTAGACTGGACATTAGGAAGCATTTATTTACCAAGAGGATGGTCAAATTCTGGCACAGGCCTGCGAGAGCAATGGTCAATGCCCCAAGCCTGTCAGTGTTTACGAGGCATTTGGACAATGCCCTTAACACCACGCATTAACTTTTGGTCAGACATGAAGTGCTCAGGCAGTTGGACTAGATGATCATCATAGGTCCCTTACAACTGAAATAGTCTATTCTCTTATAGTTCTGAATTAAAACCTTTTTGACAGAATTCTCAGAATGGCTGCTCAAAGTTCTACTTTGTTGCTGTTGGGAGGCGGAAACTGTGGAAGCAGAATAAAACCCCAAGAGTTCTTAAAGAAAAACAAAGAGTATCTCAAATACCAGTGAGACCACAAGGAAAGAAAACATAGTGGAGAAGCTGCTCAGCTTTAAAAGGTGAAGTATCTCTTCAAATAGCTAGAATACACAAGGAAATAGTTATATGGAACAACTTCTAGGCCCATTCTGTCTTGAGACCCAGCAAAAGTTACAGGGGCTTGTGGCAGCCCCACCACACAATTTTGCTGCTCAGAACCTCCAGGTGCTGTGCTTCTGTACAGCAAAGCACGTGATGCCAAAGTACTTGCTCTCCCTTCCTCCTCTGCACTGCAGCAGTATGCCTTGCATTGAGCAGATACACTTTGTTGTTGTGCCAAGCTGCTGTAAGTCAGGAAAGTCTATTAAAGATGTAAAACCAAATAAACGACACCCCAATAGTTGGATTTTCGTGTGGTGGCATTTTTTTGTTTGTTTGTTTGGTTGGGTTTTTTTAAAGGCAAATAAATTCCTTTGTCCACTTCACACAGAAATCCCCAAGCAGATCTGCCAGTGTAACTGTACTATTATGGAGTCGATGTACACTGGGACAAGTGGACAAACAAGGCTGAATAACTGTTGTGGTTTAACCTGGCAGGCACTCACCACACAGCCGTTCGCTCGCTCCTCCGCTTCCCAGTGGGATGGGGGAGAGAATCAGAAAAAAAAAAAAAGTAAAATTCATGGGTTGAGATAAAGACAGTTTAATAGGACAGAAAAGCAAGGGAAAATAATAATGACCGTGATGATGATAAAAGAATATAAAAAATAATTGATGTACAATGCAATTGCTTACCACCTGCTGACTGATGCCCAGCTTGTTCATGAACAGCCATTCCCCCCCGGCCAACTCCCCCCAGTTTCTATACTGAGCATGATGTCATATGGTATGGAATACCCCTTTGACCATTTGGGGTCAGCTGTCCTGGCAAGGCATGAGGAAGCTGAAAAGTCCTTGCCTAGTGTTAGCACTAGAATCATAGAACCATAGAATCATTTAGGTTGGAAAAGATCAAGGCCAACCGTTAACCTAACCCTGCCATTCCACCACTCAGCAACAACCAAAACATCAGTGTGGAACCAACATTCTTCTCATACTAAATACAATACTAGAAAAAAAAAATAATTAGCTCTATCCCAACCAAAACCGGGAAAATAACCTAGACTAGATACCGCCAAAACATGAAGCCACGGCCTAATGATAAGTTTAACTTACTTTTGTTCAGTGGATTAATAGACAATACAGATACTTGCAACATGTATCAGTAAGCTGACAGAAAGTGACTAAGCCATCAACACAAATATGAATAGGAAAGGTTGCATCAGCTCACACAAGCGTGCAGTCAGGACTTCAGCACAAAGCCAAGCTCTGGACCTGGAGCGTGGTGTTGCTATGGTGTCAGCTAAGGCAGCAGCTTTGCTCTCCCTTCCTATTGCTCCCTCTTCTGGATTAAAAAAAATTAGACGAGCAGACGAGCATGGAAAACCTTTCCCATCGGAGCTGTGTTGCTTGGACAATCACCAAAACACAGCCAGAAACTGAATATATATGCCAGTCATTTGAACCGGGATTAAGGACAAGCAGCATTAAGGCTCAGCCTGCTCCTTCCAGAGATCAATCACACAGAATCACAGAATGGCAAGGGTTGGAAGGGACCTCAGGAGATCATCCAGTCCAACTCTCCTGCTAAAGCAGGTTCACCTAGAGCAGGTTGCACTGGACTTCTTTCAGGAGGGTTTTGAATATTTCCAGAGAAGGAGAGTCCACAACCCCCCTGGGCAGCCTGCAACAGTGCTCTGTCACCCTCAAAGTAAAGAAGTTCTTCCTCATATTCAACTGAAACCTCTTCTGCTTCAGTTTGTGCCCATTGCCCCTTGTCCTGTTGCTGGGCACCACTGAGAAGAGTCTGGCTCCATCCTCATGACATCCACCCTTAAGATATTTGTATGTGTTGATTAGATCTCCTCTCAGTCTTCTCTCCTCCAAGCTAAACAAGCCCAGCTCCCTCAGCCTTTCCTCATAGGGGAGATGTTCCAGTCCCCTCATCATCTTTGTTGCCCTCCTCTGGACTGTCTCTAGGAGTTCCTCATCCCTCTTGAACTGGGGAGCCCAGAACTGGACACAGCACTCCAGGTGGGGTCTCACCAGGGCAGAGGGGGAGGATAACCTCCCTCGACCTGCTGGCCACGCTCCTCTTTAATGCACCCCAGGATGTGGATGCAGAACACGTCAGAGTTTTAAGTGGGGGAAACTTGGCTCCACAGCAGAAGAGCCAGCCTGGTCTCGGAGAGATCCAACTTCTGACGTGCCCACTCTCAAGATCAGCGACCCTGGCAGGTGAGGCCCCACAGCCGCACCGACTGCAAGTTGGTTCTGCACCCCAAGGAAAGCAAAAAAAAACCCAAACAACCCAATAAACCACAACCACCACCCCCCCGCCAAAGTTTCACGAAGCGTTTGGGTTTGCCCAAGGGAAGCACGGTGCAGGGGCCCAGCCACCGCCTCTGCTCTCTGCCCACGGGGCTACAGACGAACGCAGGCCGGAAAGCACGCACGGCCTCGAGCAGGAAAATAACAACCACTCAGCGCGGTGGGCTTTTTATCTTAAAAGACCCAAGTTTTAGACGGCTTCGTGTTTGTAGTACGAGGGGGATTTTTTTTATTTTTTTTTTTTTTTTTTC